ATGGAGTCCATGAGTAGTGTATACCAGTTTGCGGCCCCCAGCGTCTGGCTAATGCTGAATAAAAAGGTATAATTATTATAACTAGGATTTATATATTTGAATATTTTTGATTACATTTTTGACTACTATACTATTAAATCGACCCACTTTCCAGTCCTCATTTTGATTATACATGTACATGGTATGTGTACATGTGGGGGGGTAACTAAATTTAATGTACATGTAACCAAGATGTGACATTATTGTTAAGGAATATTGAAACTGAAAAAATGTGTAAATTTAATTTAAATTAATGTGTAGGGACACTCCTTTGAAAGTGTTGTATATTTTTAGGTTGAACCTGGAGTTGTGATAGCTGACCCTCCCGTTGCTATCCAGCATCACGTTGAGTATGTTATATACCACTCTCCTCCTTCTCTCCTCTCTTTTCTTTGTTACAAGATATTTAATGTCTATATTAATACTCTTTTTCTAGGTTCATTAGAAACCAGTTTTCCTCGCTATCACCCGAAACCCCTCCCACTCCATTAATAATGGTCATCCTCCTCAACTCTTGTGAGTACATGTACATGTAGTTCCAAAAAATTTATGTCTTTAAAATTTTACAAATTCATTTTAGATTATTCATTAATTTCATTATAATACTATAGTTCATACCACTGGTGATACATACACTATGCTACTCTCAATGATTTTGAACACTAGTGAGCATCCACTGTCTCAAGACTGTATTAACCTAATGGTGCTACATGCTAAAACAAGGTACTATACATGAGGGAAGAAAAGGGAGAGAAAGAGAGAGGGAGAGAGAGTATATATAGCCCAAGATTTTTGAGGGCTGTAAATTCTGTGATTTTCGCAATTTATAAAAATTGTGAAAATCAAATTATTAGGGTACAAGATGGCAGACGACATAAATTTGCAAAAATGAAATCCGTAAAATAGATTTTTAGGCAAGTTTATACCCTTGAAAATTTTGTGCCATACGGTACATGTACATGTACGTATGAATACATGAAAGATATTGCATGAAGAGATATTTGAAGTCAAACTTGTGAAAGAAGAGGATGGTGATTATGATCTACATTTTTCAGGTTAGGAGAGAAGATACGAGTTCAGCTGATGAGAGCTGCCGAGTCATCAAAGCACCAGCAACAGGTCCAGCAGGAAAATAACAAGAACATGATAACAGCTGGTCTTCTGGAGACTTACTCTCATCTACTGCTCTGGCTCGGAACGAAACTATTTCAATGTAAGAGTTTCATGTACATGTATTAGTACCGTATAGCAGGAAATTTTGGAGGGAGTTAAATTTGGCAAATTTGGTGTTTAGATAGCCATTCGCCAAAATAAAATCCGCCATTTTGAGCCATTATACGCATGCTCAATGGCACGTGGCCACAAATTCGCCAAATTAAAATCCGCCAATCACCAAAATTTAGCAATTTGCCAAATTTTAGTCCCTCCAAAATTTCCCGCTATACGGTACCTTGTTATTATATTGTACTGTATCTACATGTATATATGTACATGTACAGCAAGTTCACTTTTAATTCTTTATGCTAATTTAAATGTAGCAAATTTAGTAATGGAATTTTAAAAAGTTGAAGTACTATAGATAATGAATTGAGTTAACGGTATACATGTACTTGTAAACTCTTTAAAAGTACAAGTGTAGTGAAGCAAAATCCCCAATACATATACATGTATACATGTACATTAAAAACACATGTTCCTTAACTTCCTTAGTTCATGTACATGTATGCACTTTATCAATCGCAATACTTTATTGCATTCTTGGCAGTTAAATGTTATTTTTTTCTATTACTATAATTTCAGCTCAGGTGATCCCAATGGTGTTCAAGGTCCAAGAGTGGAGTATGCTACAGAACCTTCTTGAGCTGATTAGTAACAGGATCCACTCACAGCTCCAGATATCCTCTCGTTTCAACATATTAATACTCCTCCATTCCATTGCTGGTGTCTGCATTATACCAACACAGTTATTCATTGGGTGAGAGAGGGAGAGAGAGAGTTCTACATTCAGATACATGTACATGTACTTTATCATTATGAAAGATCTGAGATAGACAAGAGAGAGCTACTGTACATGTACATGTACATGTAATATTGTACAGTACTTTTATGAGCTTCTGAAAATTCAATATAATATCACATGCATCAGTTTGGCTTTGAATTAAAAAACATTTTATGGCATATTTTGATACATTGAAATATTGAGCAGATTCCTTTGAAAATTCACATTTTAGCCAAAAAAATTTTTGCTCTCCTTCCCTCTCTATTTCTCTCTCTCTCTATTTCTCTCTCTCTCTCTCTCTCTCTCTCTCTCTCTCTCTCTCTCT